GGGGGGGGGGGGTGTCAGTGGCCGGCGGACAAAGGCCCCAGAGCACCTATAGGGTCCCTGACCAGGAGGAGGGCAATGTCCCAACCATACGGGCGTCACCTGTCTCTTCCTCAGCGTTTGGTCCCTCCCTTCCCACTGAGGCTCGGGCTCCTGATACCCATCTGGGTGAGCCCTGTCCTGCGAGTCAGAGGGACCGGCTGTGCCAGAGGCAAGCAAACAACTATTAGGACGCAAGTGTGGGCGGGGAGAGGGAGCCGTCAGTGAGCAAGGGCAGAGGCGAGGAGCTTCAGGACAGAGAAATCATCTCAGAGGGAGTTGAGCCTTCCCTCAGAGGTCTGCTCGGCCCCCCGGCCCCCCATCCAGCGGCTCAACATCACGGCAGTCCAGCCCAGCCCACCTGCCGCTCACCTCCAGGCCGGCTGCTGCGGGCCCACCCTTTCGGGAGGCATCCCTCCTTCCCCCCCACCATGGCCGTGTACCGCGTGTGTGTGACCACTGGTGCCTACCTGGGCGCGGGCACACTGGACAGCATCTCTGTCACTCTGGTGGGCACGAATGGTGAAAGCCCCAAGCAGCTGCTGGATCGCGTGGGCAGGGACTTTACCCCTGGATCCGTGAGTACAGAGGGGAGGGGGAGGAGCACCACCGAGGGGCAGGGCCCTCAGGGTCCTGAAGGGGGGGACGGTCTTCCCTCAGGGCTCATCAGATCCCGGAGAACTCAGGATGCTGGCTCCGACTCCTCACCATCCCTATTCTGTCTGGTTCCTGTCTTTCCTGGGGCTGATAAACCCTATCCAGACAGGGCTGTGAAGGAGTTCTGCGCAGGGGGGGTTCAGAAGAATTCCCTGGCTTCCTGGCTCCTTCTCTCATAACTGAAGGTGGGCTTTGGGCAAGTCGCTTCAACTCCCAGAGTCTGGGTTTCTTCTACTCTGGAGGGTATCAACCTGTCTCTACCAGACCCCAGGATTGTTTGCTGGTAGGTCTTGGGGAGAAGTTGGCTGCCAAGGGGGCTAGTGAAATCCAGAACCTACTCTGCCTGTGGTAGCTGTGGTTGCTTCTGCCTGGTGAAGGGGTGCTTTATTTTAATCCATACAAAGGCATCACATAGGTTATTGGCAGCTCAAGTGTGTATGCCAGAGGAGGGGTAGGCACAGACGCACCTTGTAAGGTGCAAGGCCAGCTCTGGTGTTCCTTGCCTCTCACCTGCTTCCTCTCTTGGTCCCTTCAGGTGCAGAAGTACAAGGTGCGCTGCTCGGCAGAGCTGGGTGAGCTCTTGCTGCTGCGTCTACACAAGGAGCGCTATGCTCTTTTCCATAAGGATCCTTGGTACTGCAGCCACATCTGTGTCACTGCCCCCAGTGGTACCCTTTCCCACTTCCCCTGCTATCAGTGGATTGTGGGCTTCTGCACTATAGAGCTGCGACCAGGAACAGGTGGGCCAGAGGCAGGGGCTGGCCTGTGCTGTAGAAGGCATCTGTTGGGATTAGGGGTGGGGTCTCCCAGAGTCCATGGTGTAGGGAACAGGGTTGGGGTTAGTGTAACAAGTTCAGAGCTCCTAAGTAGGTGCTTTCTGGGAAAAGTGAGCCTCTAAAGCCCTGAAATACAGGAGCTTCCTGGACAGTATTTACCCCTCTGAGGACACACAGAGACTAGACACACTAATGTACACTCACACCACCTAGACACAGACACACACAGATGGCAATTTGCTTTCCGCTGACTCCCTCTGTACTT